TGACCTGACAACCCAGAACCATTTAGAAAGGGTAAGAAAGGGCTGGTGAGACGATTTAGTCTGTAAATCGCCTGCTGCACATGCGTGAGGACTTCGTGTGTCCCAGTGATGAGCAGCTGTGACCCCAGCTGAGGAGGTAGGGGTCGGGTAGATAGTGCTGGCTGGCTAGTTGGTACAGCTGAACCGATGAGATCCAGATCCAGAGACAGCCTCCCAGCATCAACCTCCGGCCTCGAATGCATACTCACACATGGGAATATGCACACGTTCATGCCTTTGAGTGTGCTCGTCCACATCTGTACACAGATTTCCAAGGCTTTCTGGATTCCCATGGGATTCCCAAGATTCTCATCACTTTCTGCCTGTGCACCCCTAGGGCAGCCTTAGAAACTCCCAGGCTCTGCCTGGGCTGAGCTTTCTCCTCTCCTCTGGGTCAAGGGGGCTGAGCTGTGTCCCTTGAGCAAGGTGGTTTCCCTGACCCAGGGTCACAGGGGCCCTGCTGGAGGCTGGTGCTGAGGAACAGAAACCAGGTCCTTTCATAGTCACTGGATGCAGCTCTGCTTCAGTGGACATGGAGCCCAGGGGTCCTCGGCAGGCTGCTGCCTTCCTGCCCAAACAGCCTCTTGGTTCAAGGCAAGTCTTCTTCACTCAACCTCTTGTTTCATCACAAAGGGAGTGCTTTTCTGTTGAGAGTGACTCCCTGCCCTAGCGTGACCCTCCTGAGGGACTGGCAGGTGTCTGAGTTCAGCCAAGCCTGGCACAGGTAGACTTAGTGGATATGGGATTAACCATGAGTGCTCGGGATGGAGAGAGAGAGAGAGAGAGATAGAGCGAGAGAGAGAGAGAGAGAGAGAGAGAGACCTGAAGAGGAAGGAGGACCCCTGCTGGGGAGGATGGGGAGGACATGCTTTTTTAGAGGGAGCATTGGAGCCTTGGTGCAGTCAGTGCTGGTGAAGCAGTAAGACCGAAGCACATTGGCCAAGCACATTAATACAGCCTGCCCAAACAGCCAGGCACTGCCAAGGGACAGTGCTCCACTTGCAAACAGGGTCAGCAAGTATCAGCAAGGAGAGACCTGGATCTTCTTACACAGTCCAGTGAGCATGCCTTGAGTGCTGTGGCAGGTGTGGCGGTCAAGGTTTCTGTGCTCTCTGCCCACACTTCCAGCCCCATGTCCAGTGTGTCACTGCCCTTTGATGGTGGAATTGCGCATGGCTTAATGATCTGGTAGATCACAACACCAAAGCAGCAATGCCTATCAAAAAAAAGTATATCAGCAGACCCCAGGCCATGAGGCCCCACGAGATACTGCTGAGACAGCAGACTCAGCGTTGTTGTGGGGTTTGCTGTTTTCTTAGGCATCCTTGTGGCTTAAAGTACATTTCAGCTGAACATGCTGGTTCACACCTGTAATCCCAGTCTGGTGAATTCCAGACCAGCCAGGGCTATACATCAAGACCCTGTCTCCTCTACAATCCCTCAAGACAGAAAGGATGAGGAATAGAAAGAAGAAAAGACACAACAGACAGGCAGACAAAAAGGAGAGGAGGGAGGAAGGGAAACAGGACAAGACAAGATAGGAAGGAAGAAAGAGAGAGAGAGAGGAATAAAGGAAGGACAAGACAGAAAGGAAAGAAAGGGAGGGAAGGAGGAAGAAAGGACAAGACAAGACAAAACAGAGAAAGAGAACGTCTCCCGGCCATCAGGTCTGCCCAATACAATGTGACCTGTGGGACAGAGCAGTGTGAGTCTTGTGGATTGAGAAATGTGACTGTTTGGGTCCCCCCGTTCAGGTCATGACCAGGACGGAGAGTCCCTCTGCTGTGTCATTGAAAAGCAAGGGAGCACTGCAGTTCTGCAGTTTGTGACAATTCCAGGACAGTCACAAGCCAAACAAGACCTGAAGCCAAACATCTGTGAAATAGGACAGTGTTGATCTGCCCTGACCTCTACAGAACAGCTGCCCCATCTGGAGGGCCCCGTGCCCTCCAACCCAGCCTCTCTGTGCATACCCGTGTGCCCTCAGGCAGCAGGAAAATATACATGTCCCGTGTAGGTCTTGAGGGGGATTTTAAAGCATCAAACTCATGGTTTCTTCCTATAAGATTTATATAAGATCCTATAAGCTCTCCTACCCTATGTTTTGTTTTGTTTTTGTTTTTGTTTTTTTTTTTTTATTTCACTAAAGTGCTCTGTGGCCATCCAAGGACTACATGCTTGAATGGGGCATGCATACTAACCGATGAGGTCACTGCTTGAGCCCTGCAAGCTGTGGAAAATTCCACACGTCAGTTACCACTGAAATCCAGTTACAGCCAGGAGGTGGTAGTGCACTCCTTTAATCCCAGCACTCGGGGGGCAGAGGCAGGCAGATCTTTGAGTTTGAGGCCAGCCTGGTCTACAGAGTGAGTTACAGGATAGCCAGAGCTACACAGAGAAACCCTGTCTTGAAAAACGAAAACAAGAAAGAAATCCAGCCATAAATGCACTTTAGTAAGAATAATAATAATAATAATAATAATAATAATAATAATAATAATAATAATAAATCTCAGATAATCCTGAAGCAAGCCAGAAAGCCTTCTTTGGGTTCTGTTCCTTGGGAACTACAGCTAGCGACAATCCCTATGCCATCCAGGGACCTAACGTGTGCTCGGGGCTAGACAGAACCCTGCAGTGCTTTGCGTGGTAGGGGAGGCCATTTCCTTTGTGCCTGATGCTCTAGCTGGGAGGAGTTAGCAGGGCAGACAGCCCCGGGAGGGAAGATGATTGTGAAGTGGATGGAGAGGTCAGACTGGGAGCCAGGAGGGTGAGGGTGAGAGGTGCCCACAGGGTAGAACTGGGGCCATGTAAGTCTCAGTGTCCTAAGGCCAGTTTGCCATGTCACATCCTGCAGAAGTCCCCTGCCCCCCATCACGGAAGTGAAAATACGCCTGGGCCCAGTGAGGAAAGAGAGAGCCAGCAGGTTCCCAACCTGCCAGGCGAGCCAGTCTGTGAGAGCAAGTCTGAGCTGGGTGCTGATTTGACTTCCTCCCAGGTGCAAAGTGAGAATGTGCCTTCCCTTCTGCTTTCTAGACAGACTACACCAAAACACCCCACACACTCCCTTGCAAACCCAGGGCTCTGAAGGGAAAGGAATTCTGGGAAGCACGGCTTAGCCTCAGTTTCCCACACTCATCCTCCAGACTTGTCGCAAGACCTGGCCCTAGCTCCCAGCTTCTGAGGCAGGCGGATGCCATCTGCTCCAGCTTGAGCAGCCGGCAGCCGGCTGCTTCCTTCCTACTTCCCGGGAACCTGTGTGGCCTCGGGCAAAGCATTCTATCTCCTGAGCCTCTGGTGGCACGCTCACCGTTCCCTGAGACCATCTGCCTAACACATGGGTGCTCGGGGCTAGGCAGCATCCTGCCTAGTGGAGCTCCACATACCTGCTACCACACTAGCTTGGCTCATCTTGGTCCTCCCTGCTCAGTCACCACTAGAAGGCTTCCCCTTTGTCTCCATTTCAATCTGGGGATAGCTATGAGCGTGTGAACACACACACACACATAGATACGTGTGCACACTGGCATCCGTGTGTAGATACATTTGGCCTATGTTGGTGTCACATTTGAATCCAAAGCCCAATTTCAGATGCTAGCACAGGTCCTGTTGGGTGTGCCTTCATGTTTGCTACTGACTTACACACCCTGCACATATCTCTTACAGGATAGCCATGAGATTTCGGGTCCATGACTCCTCTAATGGTGTTTCTGCCAAGGAGTTGGCAGGTCAAGCATGAGGAGGTTTCTTTGCAGCCTTGGGGGTTCCCTTAGCTCTCTGCTTCCTCGGAGCTGTTCACAGCAGTGAAGGTGGGCCCAAAGTGGCAAAGACCAGGGGTGCTGCTCCACAGAGGCAGATGAATACTAGAGTCCTGCAGACTAACCAGCTCTGGAATTGGAAGAGGCAGTCTGAGCAGAGAAGAAAAGTGGTTAGCTTGTGGTTTAAGCCCAGGGGCGTCTCCCGGAGTGGGGGTGGGCACTGAACTGCACTGCGTTCTGTTCTCTCCCTCACTGAACTGGAGTTGAGGATGGTGTGTGATGGTGGGCAAAGTGAAGGCTTGGACACAGATCCGCAGGTCTAATTCTGTGCTGGTGTTGATATGCTGTGTGCTTTGAGATCAGGCTCCCAGCCTCTCCTGGCCCTAGTAAATAAACCAAAGTTCCGAATGGTCCGGTCCAGCTCAATGCCTCCATGTTGTGTTGCTGTTTTCCTAACCTCACGGCATCCCTGGCCTGGCTGAGCTTCTTTAGACACTGTGGAGGGGTGGGGGTGAGGGCTCCAAGCTTGGAGGCCTAGAGAAAGGGACCTGACCATCTGCCCTTCTGTAGAACTTACCAGCAACACCACACCTAGCCTGCCTGACCCCTGACCCTGACAGGAGAAGCGGGATCCAGGGTCTCTTTATGCAACTGATGACACCAAGCATCAGGGAGACACTTCAGGGTCCCCCACAAACCCGATCCAGACCGAGCTTGAAAAACGGCTTGAAAAAAACAAAATTGTGTGTGTGTGTGTGTGTGTGTGTGTGCAACAACTCCAGGAGTGATTCCTCAAGTGTGGCCCTCCTTCTTGTTTGGGATTTTCGTTGTTGTTTGTTTGTAACTGGTCTCTCTCAGGCCTGGGACTCACTAACTAGGAAAGCCTGGCTCACTATTGAGCCCAGGAACCCGCCTGTCTCACCTCCCTGCCACTGAGATTACAGGCACACACCACCAGGCCCAGCTGTCTTTTCCCTGAGTTCTGGAGATCCAATCCAGGCCCTCATGCACACTCGAAGCAGGCTCTTGACCAACTGTGCCATCTCCCTAGGTCCCCCTGAGTTTGAAATTTTCATGTGTGAAACCAGCATTCAAAGCCTACTCTGGTATTGTACACCAAAACGTGTGAATTTGGAGTAATCTCATATAATTAACTTTATTTAGAAAATGCTTGAACACTAAAGGTCTCTAAATATAGATCTCATGTGTCCTGTGCATCTTTTAGAGATGTGTGTGAAGAAGCCTACAGACCCTTCCTCGGGAAGGACACCTCTTTACGGATGAACACATCTTTTCTTCATGTCATGTTGGTGTGAGAAAGCTCTATGTTTTATAGAGTGATAGGTGAGTTGGGATTTTTTTCAGTGCCCTTAACTTGTTGAAAAAAATAAACAGGCAGTCACTATCTGTACTTTCAGCTCCCTTGAATCTTATTTAAACCATTTTCCCACTCAGCGACATCTCAGAAGCCCAGAACCCGTGTATCTGTACGGGAGAGCTTCAGGAGCCTCATTTTAGTTAGTTAATCGATCCTTTCAGAGACATAGTCTCACGTAGTCTTAGACTACCCAACTTGTGACGAAGCGGAGGCTCAACTCCTGATCCTCCTGCCTCCACCTTGCAGGTGCTAGGATTAGGGAAGTGCACCAATATGCTCCCCCCCCCCCTTAAGGAGTCTTGTTTTATGTTTTGAGGAAAGGCAGAGAGATTCAGTCTGTCCAGAGGTTTGGGGCCACACAGCTGCAGAAGCCAGGGCTGGGAGCTGAACGCTGCCCTCTGTAGCCAGGAGCCCCAGGTGGCACCAACCTGTGCCTCTAACACATGAGCCCCAGGTCTGGCTTGAAGGACCCTAAGGTTTAAGAAAATGAAAGGCATCTAAGAAGCCATGTGGAGGTTTCCTGACCTCCACGCCTGAGGGCTAGAATGCGTGCAGATGCCTCAAGGGGGTTAGAAAGGCATGAGCAATCCTACCCCAGCCCTGTCAGAGGAAATGCTGGGGTGGTGTTTTACTAGCCTTGAAAATGGGTTTTATTTAATATCTACATAGCAGATTTATAGAGTTAATTTGGCTTCTCCTCTGGTTAAAGGTCCCTGGAGGGCGGTAATGACAGTTCAGTTCCAGAAACTGAAAGAAAAATCAACACGATGTTTGCCTGGAGCAGTGGGGGAGCTCCAGGGCCCAGAGCCAACTTCACAAGTGCAGGCTCAGCCATCCTGGGAGTTTGCCAAGCCTAGACTGGAGTCCCTTCCCTAGGACTCTGAAGAAGAGAGGGTAGCCCTGGGGCTCTGTCTAGCCAAGTGGAACACAGACGAAGACAGACCCAAGATCTTGCGGGGACGCATCAGGGATACAGCAGAGGGGGACCTCCACGGTGGGAGGCACCCACAGGCCAGAGCACACGGAGGGCGTTAGCAGAAGAAGTTGAGAAAATACTGGTACTGAGGGTTGTAGCTCCAGAGGTTTTTCCGTAGGCAGTAGACCAGCTGCCGGTCACAGGCGCATAGCCTCACTGGACAGAAGGACCCGTGTTCTGCAAAAGGGATAGCAAGTGCTGAATGAGCATCGGAAAACTGTGCCCCACCAACACCGACTTGGTCAAAGTCATACTGGAGGACGGCTTCTGCTCTGCGTAGATGTCCCATCTGTGTCCTTCTCCGAGGAATGTGTGGAGGAGGAACCTGACCCAGGGTGATACACAGTAAGAGCTTCAGTTCCTGACCTAGGAAGGTGTGTAATCTGATGGCGGAGGCTTGGCTGCTGAACTAGATGCCCCGATCTTGATCACGCTGAGGTTTCTATTCAGGGAGGCCCCAGTCTAGTGGAGTAGATGCACCTCTTTGGGTAGAGCCAGTTTCTGTGGGAGGTGTTAAATAGAGATGCACCTGGTACCTGGTTTTGAATTCAAGGGCCCAGGCATGCATCCTGCTGCACACTGGCAAACGTTTGAGCTTCCATTGTGTGTGTAAAACAAGGGAGGTGAAACCTGCTCTATCCAGGGAGAGGAAGTCTGCAAGCCCACGGTACCTGGTGAATGCTGGGTCTAAACTATGCCCTCCCTTCCCTGGAAGTCTAAAGAGGCTGCAGCAGTCCCACACCCCTCAGCCTCCTCTCCCTCACAAGATACAGAATGGCCCCCTCCCAGCCCAAATGGGAAGCCACCCTTACCGCAGATGACTAGGCCCAGTGTGACTCTGTAGTCATAGGGCTGGGTCCGGATGCTACAGCCTTTCTCTTCCAGTTGCCCATAGCAGCGGTCATGCATCAAACAGCACCTGCCAAAGCAAAAAGATGGGGGATGCTGACCCCATACCTGTGGGAGATTCCAAGGTGACAGAGTTCAGGTCAAATCTAAACAGAATCAGAGCCAAAGGTGACTAAGAGACATTGCTTAGATGTGTAGGTTAAGTTCTCACTAAGGGACTTTCTAACCCCACACCCTGACGAGAGGTTCTCTCCTTGTCCTGCATGGACGCCAAGCCTTATGCAGCTTTGCCTGTGAGCACAGAGGCCTGGACGAAGATGGGCTTTCTCTAAGACCGCGGCAGTTCAGACAAGGTGCTCTAAATAGGAGGCTTGCCTAGCAACAGCATCTCCACCAATGAGCCGATGGCAACTCTTGCCTCTAGTCCCCACAACTGAGGAGCTTGGTATCTAAGCAGCTTATGTAAAAGTTTTGGCTCTCCTGCTAATTAAAACTTCCCCCTTAGGTCACCCTCCATGGTTTCTGAGGCATTCCTATTCTCACTGCAATGCACCACTGTCTCCAAATCAATAGCCGTTCTTTGGAGAGTCTTTCGGAATGTTATCTAGGCTGACATCCCTAGCAGGTGTGAAACTACAGCTATATCCTTCTGACAGAAGGCTGTGGCAGGTGGATGTGAGCTGTCAGGGATAGTGTCTGGTGAATTAGCTCCTCCCACACACCAGAACTGCCACCGCTCAGAAGTTTATTGACCTATTTTTGCCTCCTAATGGCTAGATGAAGGGTAGGTGTGGTTTGAATGAAAATGGCTCCCATAGGCTCAGAGGGACTGGCACAGTTAGGAACTGTGCTCTTCTTGGAGTAGGTGTGGTCTTGGGGAAGGGTGTCATTGAGGGTGGGCTTTGAGGTTTCAGGTGCTTAAGCCAGGCCCAGTGTGGCATTGTTTTCCTGCTGCCTGCTAATCCAGCTGTAAAACTCTCAGCTACCTCTCCAGCACCACGTCTGCCTGCATGCCGCCATCCTTCCGTCATGACAATAACAGACCAAACCTCTGAACTGTAAGCCAACCCCAACTAAATGTTTTTCTTTGTAAGAGTTGCCCTGAGCCACGCTTGGTGGCACAGCAGAGGCAGAGGTGGGCGGATCTCTGTGAGTTTGAGGCCAGCCTGGTCTACAAAGTGAATCCAGAACAGCCAAAGCTACACACAGAAACCCTGTTGGGGGGGGGGGGGGGCAGGGGCAGAGTTGCCTTGATCACGGTGTCTCTTCAGAGCAATAGAATACTGACTAAGACAGAAGTTGGTACCAGAGACTAGAATATTGCTGTGATAGGCTGGGCTCCTGCTTGGAAGAATATGGAACATTTCGGGACTGGACCTTTAACTGAGGCTCGATGAGCCATACTAGTAGGAACATGGAAGACAGTGGTGCTAAGGGTGATTTGAACTGTGGGGGCCTGGCTCAAGAGGTCTCAGAGGAGAAGAATTTTAGTATGTGGCCTAGAGACAGTTCGTGTGACTTTTTTTTGGGGGGGGGGATGTGAAAAATATGGACTGCTTTCTACTCTTGTCCAAAAAGATCTGCCTGAAGCTAAATTAAAGAGCTATGGATTAACAGCTTTGGCAGGGGACACTTCAAAACATTCCAGCGTTGACCCATGTTGCTTGGTCATTAATGGCCAATCTTATGCCAATCTATAATGAAAAAGGAGCAAGCTGAGCAAGTTCACCAGGCAGACATGGTGCTGGAGAGGTGCAAAACATACAGGTTGAAGAGAAAAGAGGCCCCAGGAAGCTAACAGAGCTTAGTCTTGTGTTGGAGGGGATAGAAAGATTAAAGAAAAGCCTGGTGCTAGATGGGATAAAGGGAGTGGTGACCTCAGGGCAAGACCCCACCCAGCTAAGCTCCCAATTTGAGAAAAGGAATTAAGGAAAAGCTTAGGGCCAGGTGAGGTAGAGCACACCTTTAATCCCAGCACTGGGGAGACAGATGCAGGTGGATTTCAGAGATCAAGGCTAGCCTAGTCTACAGATGGAGTAACAGGAAAGCCAAGCTTAGGCAGTGAAGGAAAGAAGCAAAAACAGAAAACTGTGAAAATGTAATTGAATGAGGGGCCATGTTCCAGCCCTAGCAAGCAACAGAATTTAGCAGCTTCGGCCAAATGGTTCTGGCTTTAGAGTTAAGATTACAAGAAAGGGGTAATAGAATATCCCTCCTTGACTAGAAAAGCTGCAGAAGCCAGGTGTGTGTCAGGGGTGTCCCTGCATGGAAGCCTAGATAGATCATTGCCTGAAGCTGTGAAGGTGAAACCTGCATTGCCTTAGAGACCCTAAGATGCCGGAGCTGTGGGGTGCCTGCCAAGGAAAGCTGCCAACAGGGAGCGGAGCCAGCCAAAGGGAGAGAAGTGTGTTGCGATCAACAAAACTGAAAGGAGTTGGAGCTCTGAAGGGCGGTTTGACATCAGACATGGAGATGCAGAGTTTGGAGTTTGTCCATCCAGTCTTCTGTCTTGCTTTGGTCCAGTATTTCCTTACTGTGGTGTGAAGTATGTGTGTTGGAAGTATGTGGTCTGCTTTTTGATTTTGATTTTATATGGGGTTACAGTTAGGAGTGAAAGACCCCAGCCTCACACTAAGTTAAACATAGCTAACGCCATTTTGTGAGACACCACTGTTTTATAAAACTCTGAAGGCCAGATGAGAAACTGGAAAATTACTGAGAAATCCTAGCTGTGTCACCCACTTGGGATATCTGTGGTCAGGCTGCCCCAGTCATACTAAAAACAGTTTGTGTTAATCACTCTCATAGATATCTGTGAGACTGTTTCAGCTAAGATAGGGAAAAACAAAATAACAGGTGGCGGGCCACGTCAAGGGGTCATCCTACCCCCCCCCGACCACCCAGTTCCTGGAATCTTGGTGCCCCTGCCAAACTTTGACGCAAATTGTGGTCTCGTGTAAATGTACCAATCAGCCCCCTGTAACCATGCCCTCTCGCTTCTGTACCAGTGCTTCTGCTCTAAAACCCTATAAAAACCCCAGTTTTTCCCCAAGGAGGCGCGCAAGGTGCTCCCGAGTGACCTTGCTGCCCCGAGTACTCGTGAATCAAAATAAAAGCCTCTTGCTGTTTGCATCCGAATGGACTCGTTGTTCTTTGGGAGGGGGTCTCTCTGACGGAAGATACCCTCCGGGGATCTTTCAAGGAGACTGCTTTGAGTCTCAGAAGAGACATTAAACTTTGGACAGTGTTGAAACTTTTAAACAGTGTTTAGACTGTGATAGACTATGGGGGACTTCCAAAACTGGACTGGGGGCTGGAGAGATGGCTCAGAGGTTAAGAGCACTGGCTGTTCTTCCAGAGGTCCTGAGTTCAATTCCCAGCAACCACGTGGTGGCTCACAACCATCTATAGTGAGATCTGCTGCCCTCCTGTGGTGTGCATGCACACATGCAGGCAGAACACTATAAATAATGAATGAATGAATAAAGAAATCTTTAAAAAAAAATCTGGACTGGATGCAGTTTTGCATTAAGATATGGCTATAAGCCTATGAGGGCCAGGAAATGAAAAGTGGTGGCTTGAATGAAAATGTCCCCCTATCCCAGGGCGTGGGAGTACACACGCATATGAAGACCAGAGGGCAATGTCCTGTGTTTCCATCAACCACTCTCTACCTTATTCTTTAAGATATAGTCTCTCACTGGAACTTGAGGCTCACTGATTCAGCTAGACTGGTTGACCATCAAGGCCCAGGGATCTGCCTGTCTCCTTCACCTCCAGAAGCATTCAGCCTTTTTTATGTGGATTCTGGAGAACCGAACTCAGGTCCTCATACTTGTACAGCGAGAACTTTATTGACCGAGTCACCACTCTAGCCTTCTATCTATAAATTTCTATATATTGTTACATATTAAACCAAATAGGAATTTATAATGATGTGTTCAACTACAATCTGTTACCATATAGGTCAGTCTAGCCCTTCCCTTGCTTATTCATAGAGTCCTGCTTCAACTTAACCCCAACTCCCTGCTGTCCATGTGATGCCGCCCTTCATGGCATCCACTGGCATCAGAACTGTTGTCTCTGTACCCTGAGTTTTCCAAAGAACAACATCTCCTGTCTCACACAGTCTTCTAGAATGGCGACACTCCCCTGTCAAAAGGCAGAATCTGGATCCTCTCTTTCTCTTTGAAAGATGACACACACAGTGAATAGAGATATTGATGGGTACAGTGAGGCACTATACCTCATACCAGTGAAATGGTTAATCTTGGCTGTCAACTTGACTGGATTAATAGTTGCCTAAGAAATTACAGAATCCCGCCCTTGGATGTGTCTGTGAACTTTCTCCTGATTCTAGATCATGAGGGCCAACGAATGGCTTCATGGGTTGATGGATTCATAATATGATGGAGTTATTGGGAAGTGGTATAAGGTGAAAGAAGGACCTATTTAGAGGAAGTGGGCCACTAAAAGTATATCCCTGGCAATGATACTCCTTCCCTGTCATCTTTCTGTATCCCTCTCTCTCTGCTTCCTGCTCCCCATGCAAGAGTGCCACACACTGCCACCATCGTGATATCCTGTCTCAACACAGGCCCAGAAACATGAACCCAAGTGGCCATGAACTGAGCCCCTTGAAACTGTGAGCCCAAATAACGGATCACTCCCTTAAGTTGTTCTGCCAGTTATTTCATCGCAGTGAGAGAGAGAAAAGTAACTAAGACAACCGTGATAATTATGTGACCATCGCAGGGATGCGAACCCATCACCTCAAATATGCATTTTGTTGTGGTGAGACCATTAGGGATCTCTCTTGAGATGCCCACTGCACCATTAGCTGCAGTCATCAGAGAACATCAGAGCTTATTGCTTCTCTGATGGTAGCTGTGCGCCCTTTGACTAACCTAGGTCTCTTCTCTTAAGCCTTTGTGGCTGGACCAACTAAGACCACATAAGCAACACTGGAGTTCCTAAGGTCTATGATAAAAATACCACCCTTTATTGTTGTTGAGACAAGGTCTTGCCATGCAGCTGAGGCCGCCTGGAACTTGCTATGTAGGCCACATCAACCTCAAACTCTTGATCTTCCTGCTGATACCTCCCCAGTACTGGGAATTTAGGCTTACATTCCTACATCCAACTAGCCATCCTCTTTTGACTGGTAGTTTGGGAATATTTGTGACAACCTGCAAGTGTCACCATGCTGCGAGATAGTCCACACCACCCAGCATAAAACCCATAGAAAGGGTCAGAGCCTCTACCCACAGACAGTGACAACCTGAGCCACAGCCAGGAGCCACCTGTGGTGTGAATCATCCAATTTTAACCAGGCTTTGCAAAAGGAGACCGAGCAGCTAGGCGTCACTCTGTCATGGGCCTCCCCAGACGGCAGGTTCATAAGCAAAGTAAACAGTCATGGTTGCATTGAGCCAACACATAAGGATCACTTGTTATATTTCAATAAAGCAAGTGACATACACTGAGATCCTGGGATTCTTGGGAGTTACATGGCATACCTTCAAAAGCTTCCCCTGAGCCTTGGTTTTACTTATTTTAAAGATTTATTTTCATTGGAAGAGGGAGAAAACGGGGAACAGGACAGGAGCCTACCACAGAGGGCCTCTGAAAGACTCTGCCCGGCAGGGTATCAAAACATATGCTGAGACTCAGAGCCAAACTTTGGGCAGAGTGCAGGGAATCTTATGAAAGAAGGGGGAGATAAAAAGACCTGAAGGAAACAGGAGCTCCACAAGGAGAGCAACAGAACCAAAAAATCTGGGCCCAGGGGTCTTTTCTGAGACTGATACTTCAAACAAGGACCATGCCTGGAGATAACCTAGAAACCCTGTACAGAAGTAGCCCATGGCAGCTCAGTGTCCAAGAGGTTTCCCCAATAATAGGAACAAAGACCGTCTCTGACATGAACTCATGGGCTGGCTCTTTAATCACCTCCACCTGAGCGGGGAGCAGCCTTATCAGTCCACAGAGGAAGACACTGAAGCCAGTCCTGATGAGACCTGATAGGGTCAGATGGAAGGGGAGGAGGTACTTCCCTATCAATGGACTTGGGGAGGGGCAAAGGAGAAGAAGAGGGAGGGAGGGCGAGATTGGGAGGGGTTAGGGGAGGGGGCTACAGCTGGGATACAAAGTGAATAAACTGTAATTAATAAAAATAAAAAAAAATTTAAGTTAAAAAAAATTTATTTTAGAAGCTGGGTATAGTGGCAAACACCTTTAATCCCAGCACTCAGGGGACAGAGGCAGGTGAATCTCTGTGAGTTCAAGGCCAGCCTAGTCTACAGAGTGAGTTCTAGGACAGCCAGAGCTACATTGTGAAACCCCGTCTCAAAAAAGTTTGAAAATATTTATTTTAGTTTTAATTGTGTGTGCTCATGTACACAAATGTACATGTGCCCAAAGCACTCTTTGAGTACTGGTGCCCAGAGAAGCCTGAGGCATCAGGTTCCCTGGAGCTGGAGTTACTGGTGGTTGTGAGCTGACCAACATGGGTGCTGAGAACCGAACTCTGGTCCCGTGCAAGAGCAGGGCGCACGCTAACGTCTCCACATCTTTCTGCTCTCTCCATCTCTCCAGTCCTGAGCAGCCTTGGTTGTAATTGTCATCTTTTAGAACAGACACGGAATCAGAGGAGGTGATGAGGGTAGAGCCCAGAGCATTGAGGGTGGTGATGACGTCAGCTCACCAATCAGTGCCATCCTTGGGGGTCCCTCTGCCGCCCCAGCCACAGTAGCAGCCATAGAAGCCATAGCTCTTTATGGCATTCTTCCCAGTCACCTTCTCAATCATGGACTTCAGTTCTATCAAGCCCCCTGGCACTGCAGGCACACCTGGAAAACACCCCAAGCCCCAGAGGAGTGAAACCAGGTACTCAGCTGCAGACCTTCTGCCTGCCCCTCCCACCAGAGGTGAAGAGTTTGCGCTTGGAGCCGAGGAATGTGACTCAGTTGTCAGAGGGTTCACCTAGCAGGCAGGAAGCCCTGGCTTTGACCATCAGCACTATGTAAACTGGGTGCGTGGCATGCCTGTAAGCTTAGCACTCAAAAGGCGGAAGCAGGGGGTTAAGAAGGTCATCCTTGGCTATGCAAGTTCAAGGCCAGCTGGGGCTACATGAGATCCTTTCTTAAAAAAAAAAAAAGTAAAAAAAAATTAATTTATAAGCGGAGTAGGCCATAGCTTGGAGCCATCTCCCTCATATTACAAATTGGGAAACTGAGGCTCCGGGGTTCATTCCCTGTGTTGGGTCTCAAGCTCCTCCTAGGATCTTCAGATAGCTGGTAAGACATCAAAGAGTGGAGTAGGCCACCAGGGACTTGTATGGGGGGCTAGAGGGCTGCAGTGAAGCCTAAAGCCAGGTATATTATAACAGACCTTAGCACAACTCTGTGACGGAAGTACCATTCAGACCATAAAACTCAGCATGAAGATAGCACCACCAGCCAAAACAAAAACAAAGACGTAATCCATCAAATCCTAAGTCTATATCTAAATGTACTAACCTTGCTTGTTAGCTTCTTCTGGCCAACTGTTCTTGTCAACCCAGAATGGTTTTGTGTGTGTGTGTGTGTGTGTGTGTGTGTGTGTGTGTGTGTGTGTGTTTAGGAGCTTACTCTGAGAAAGGCTAAAGGTTACACTGCAATCACCCAGACAGCTAATAAAGACTTTCTGTTGGCTTAAACCCATATCCACTGTCTTCTCTGGTGACTACTCCACAACGTTTCAGACACCTTTCAGATGGGGTAATATGCAGTACTGAGCAGAGAATGACTCTGGAATCAACTGAAGTCTGTCTGTCTTTCTGTCCGTCTATCTATCTATCTATCTATCTATCTATCTATCTATCTATCTACCATCTATCTACCATCTATCTATCTATCTATCTATCTATCTATCTATCTATCTATCTATCTATCTATCTATCTATCTATCTCCCTGCTTCCTTGCCTCATTGAACCTCATGCATCACCATGCTGTAAGGGCCCTACTACTGAGATGCTCCCTCAGCCCTGAGCTGGGATATTTCCCAAGGGTTTTGTGTTCCACTTTGTTCTATGGTTTGTCCTTATTCTCTTTTTACATGTCAGGAAAATATCTGCCTCCCACATTCACAAGCTACATGTAGTCTGGCTCCTGGCTCTCACACCCTGACCTACAGTATTCAAATCCTGCCAGGGCACCATATCCACCAGCACAAAAACAGGAGCCCAGGGAGACCAAAGCCTTTGCCACTATCTTTGCCTGCACTGTAAGGGCAGAGCTGAGACTTGGACTTGGGTCTTCCGAACATTGAAGGATGATAATCACCTTTCTTTCTACTACCCAGTCACTCCCAAGGCTGGGGGGGTGGGGAGGAGCGGCATTCAGAGGACAAGGAGGCAACACTTACTGCAAGCCAGGAACCAAGCTAGCATGAGGAGGCCCTTCATCTCTTGGGTTCTGGAAAACAAAACACATCCCATGGCGTCTTCTAAGTCATCACTGCCAAGGCCTGTTCAGACCCCACCCGACTCCAAACTAGGTCTGCCTGTTCCCTCCCTTATTGGGTAATCCACCCACTGCTCCGGCCGGAAAAGACATAGGCGAGAGGCAAAGCCCCCAGAGCCTGAACCACAGAATTCCCTGGGGAGAGTCATTATTGTCTCCACCAGAAGTGGCAGTGACAAGTGCCCCTACATCTGTCCCCTGGGCAGGTGGGTAAATGGCTGTTGCTGGCACAAGATTAAGGGCAGCCAAACATCAGCGTGGAGGGCTGCTGGTGGGATGGCTCAGTGGGTAGAGGTGCCTGCCACCAAGCCTGGTGACCTGAGTTTGATCCTGGGACCTACATGGTAGAAGGAGAGAACTGATCTCCACAAGCTGTCCTCTGATCTTCTGTGCACACCCATACATACACGTAAACATCATTCACAAAATAAAAGGTAAAGGACCAGGGGGAAAGGGAGAGAGAGCACAGCACAGAGAGTCCTGTAACAGAGTGCTGGACACTGAGGCCAGAGGGAGCTGGAGCTTGAATCTCGTTCCTGTCGCTCATGATCCTGACAGCTTGAGTGCCCTGATAGTTTCCCCGCTATTCCTGCACTGAGAATGGTGGCTGCCCAGAATGGATGCTCTGGAATGGAATCCAGCACCCACAGTGAGTCATGGCCATTGGGGGCTGCATTATGGCTTTGTGGCCCCCAAGGACACTACAGACCTTTTGACGGTCCTACAGGCCACTGTCCCTATTGACCAATGGGAATGGTGAAGCTCAGAAACTGACCAGAATATGCCAGAGGTCACTCAGCCAATAGCCAATAACGTGGAATCAAGATGTGAACCCAGGTTTTGACATCCTCACAGTCCAGGGCCACCCCTCCTAGAGGGAAAAATTCTCTCAACCCTGAGGGTCTATCTTCCATGAAGTTCATCTTCTAGGACTCCCACCTTAGCGTCTGTCTTTAGCAAAAACACGACTTCCAGCTGGAAGCTTGGAAGCAGTGGTGGCCATAGGCAGAGGAAATGCAAGGTTTCCAATGTGGCCTCCAGGAGGTTCCTCTGATGGTAGCTGCCTATTCTTCTCCCCTCCCAGGATGCTCAAGTCCCCACACATCCACAGCTGCTTGGCTGGCCTGTGGTCAGCTACGACTTCCTTTCTGGTGCCACTCTGTCTACCAGCCCTCAAGGGGATAGCTCTCTGTTGCCCCGTGCTCTCTGCCCAGGCCCCTGGCACCTTCAAAGGCCTGGCCTTCCAGCACAGCACTCAGACTCCCAGCACTCCTAGCTCCTGAGCTGGCCTTTATCCAGGAGCACCTCTGAGTTCCAAGAACATTCCTGAGAGTTCTGTCCCCACACAGCCTCTGCCCTGAGGGCTCTAAGCACCCAGGTTAAACGGCCCTAGATGCTACTTTCCACACCAGTGTCTCTCTGCTGCTTTTCTGAGGCTGTTCGGAAGCAAAGACACACTGGGCGTCTTTGGTGTGCCTGACCCCATCCATGTCACCCTCAAACCACCCACAGCCTTGACAGGTAAACACTAGCAAGCCATTGTGGTCCCCTTCAGTGGGGATTTGTGGGATGAATAGATAAGAGTTGCTGATTTTGCAGACTGAGGAACTGGAAGGCTCAGGCGAGGGGCTGGGGAGGTGGCTCCGTGAGTTAAAGCCTCTAAAGCCTCGCTCGTGCAAGCAAGCCTGAGAATCTGAACTGGGGGTTCTAGCGCCCACATAAAGCAAGCTGAGTAAGCTTGCATCGGCCTCTAACCCCAGTGCGGTCGGGCACAGAAAGGAGGGTCCCTGGGCCAGGCTGGCTGGCAGCCTCACTCCAGATTCTCCAGATCCAGTGATAGAGCGACCATCCAATGTTCTTCTCAGGGAGAGAGAGACAGAGACAAAGAAAGACAGAAAGAGAAGAGAGTGCACAAACCCTCATGGGGGTGAAATAGTTGTCCAAAGGTTTAGCCCATGCTAGTGAATCCCCTTTTACTGATTCTCACCTGCGCCCTGATCCTCTCTTTCTCTGAGCTACCTTTGTAGTTACCTCTGCTCTTCTTTTCCTGTTTCCTTTTCATCTTTCTATCCCTCCTTTTTCTTTTCCTTTATTCTCTTGCTTTCTTTCTTTCCTTCCTTCCTTTCTTTTTCTTTTAGACAGGGTGTCATGGAGCGCAGGCAGGTCTTGAACTACGTAGCCAAGGATGACTTTGAATTCCTGATCCTCCTGCCTCCACCCCTTGAGAGCACAAATTACAGGCATGCAGCACCATGCCCAGTTTATACTGAGCTGGGTGGAACCCAGGACCTCGTGCATGCTGGGTGAGTGCTCTGCCAACTGAACTACATTCCCAGAGTGTATATCTTGTTTCATAAAGCTTTGACATCTCGAGGAGCTTGGTAAAGAGAATGTGCCCCTGGTAGGCTAGCCAATTCCTACAGCTTGAACCTGGCCCTCCTCAGGGGCATGAGGTTCACATAGCAGTCAGGCAAGGGAAGGCCTTCAATCCCAGCATCCACACAGTTAACTCTTTCAGGCCAGGCCAGTCAGTGTTAGCCAAATTGTCCCTCGAGGAAAACCTTGAGCAGCTGAGGCAAGTCTCCCCAGCTAAGCTGTTCTGCTTCCTTTCTCTCCCTTCGACCCATTCACTCTGGTAACAACCCCCCTTGACAACGTCGACCCTCTTCTCCTGAGGACTCTAAGTAGGGCACTCTTAAACAGTCATCATTTTTCTGGCCCGCTGTCCTCACACAGAGCTCCCCAGTCTGCACCGTTGCTGTTGCTGTGTGCACAGCAGGAATCCCTACAAAAAGAGTTGAAAAGATAAGAGGAATTCAGGAGTCAAGATGGCAGTGCCTAGGCCTGGAAACAGCTGCCCAGGAGCCCAGGCCATCACTGGAGCCCAAGGCAGCCTTGAGACAGGGCTATGGCTTGTCTGTCTTTAATCTACTGACCACAGGGACACTGCTCGATAATTTCGGGGGGGGGGGGAGAAGCAGGACTGCAATAATGAGAGGTAGGGAGGGCCGAGGCAGACAAGATGGAAGCACAGAGGCAGGCACGGAAACAGGGAGCTGCCAAGGCCATGTGAGGAACAGGTCCTTCAAGGCCACATGAGAGAGTCCCTAAATGCCCAGGAGTCCCCCCCCCATTCCCATCTCTTTCTGCCTGGAAAAGAGCCCAATGGTCCAGTCAGCTTTGAGATATCCGTACCGCTTGCTGACTCTGCCACCCCACAGAGGGGTAGGGCCCCCACTTGCTCCCATTGGGCAGCCCCAAGAAGGAGAGTCTCACCTGAGTGCCCGCCTCTGTCCTCAGCCCTGGAGAAGAGGCAGCAATCTGGGCCTGCTCGGTTTTATACCCGTCCTGTCGCCTCCCACACTGCTGCCTGGGCCAACTCCAAGATTCCTGGGAGCTCAGGGAGCCCTACTTCAAGACCCCCTGTTGTTCCCACCCCCCTCTAGATTCTTGATACAGGCCTCAGGGCTGGAGAGCTCTCAGGAGAGACATCCAGAAGGGGCTAGCTTGAGCTGACCTGGGTCCGAGATGGAGCCCTGAAATCCCTTCCCAGGCACAGCCTCACTTCCTCTGCCACAGTAGGCCTTTGTGGAATAATCCTTGTGGTTTCCCAGCCCACAGCAACTGCTTCTATTTTGTTCTGTCTTTGGCCTCAGCTCAGGAGCAGCCACGGGACACACGGTGGTACTCATATAATCCTATCTTCTTCCTCCCCTCTCCAACTTCTCAGCCCCACCTTTCTCAGAAGCCCCTTCTGGGGACAACACAAGATGCTACCTCCCTGTTGACATCTGACTCACTAGATCCCTACACCCAGCTTGTCCCCAGGAGCCACTGAGAAGCTGTGGAACCCTGGGGGAGCAACTCTACCTCTGTGTTTGTTCATGTGAAACGTGAACACAATGACCCCCACAAGCCCAGTGAGGAGAGTACCAGACAAACTATGTCACACGGAGGAGCGTGTGGCTCAGTGGGTAACGTCATTAATTCTACATCCCTAGAATTAACCTAGGGAACGGGGTTAGTAACCTAGACATCCTCCCTAACTGAAAAACTCCCTAACTGAACATCTCAGGTGGCTCACCTGCTTTGAAGAGCTGTTACGAGCCTTAATGAATCAGCGCACGTATTGACACTTCTAACGGTGGTAAAGGCTGAACTAAGATGGAATGTTCTAGAAATAGGACATTGTGTACTCAAGTGAAACCTCATACCCATGCTTTATAAAGAAGCCTCCGACTGCCCCTCTTCACATCTCTCTCTCTCTCCCTCTCCCTCCCCATTCCCTCTTCCCTCTCTCTCCACGAGCACCGCTCTCTTTGGGTTTTGGAGTGGTTTTCTGACCTGGTCTGGAGCTCCCAATGCAGCTAAACTGGCTTGCTGGCCATCAAGCCCACAGATACCTAGGGCTATCAATGAATGCCCCTGTGCCTGGCTTTATTTTGATCCTAGGAACCAGAGCCAGGGCCTGTGCTGCCTGAGCTATCTCTCCACACACCACTCTTGGCTTTCCATCCCTCCTCCCTCCCATCTCTCCCAGCAGCAACAGCAGCAGCAAGAAGCCCTCATGACTACTTCTTTCCCTAGGACCTAACCACAGAGCCTTTCACACTGAGCCCTGAGAATTCAACTCAGTACAAAAATACTGTCTGCTGTGTGCCAGACACTGAGAAGGATCTGGCAGTGGACGAGACAGAGCCCCTGCCTTCTGACGAAGAGAGACAGGGCTAGCAAAGGCACAAATGCTCTATCTGCAGTGCCAGGTGCTGCAGCCGGAACCATCTCTTCTGCATCCTCATTTCTCCTTCTTGACCAGTTGTCTTCTCCTCAGGGAAGGGGGTGGGAGTAGCCATGCAGAGGTCAGAGGGCAGCTCACAGGAGCTGGTTCTCTCCTTTTCCCAGATGTGCTTGGAGATAGAACTCATGCAATCAGACTCAACAGTGAGTGTCAG